AGGCATCCTAAGGTAACCTCTTTCCAGTTGTGATCTGCAGTGGCTGCAAAGAGCTCTGCTTGCATTACCTTCAGCCTCAGCTGTTACTGTGCTTAAAACCTGGACTATGAAGTGACTGCCTGGTGCAGCGAGTCAATGTTTATTCTCTGATTATTAGTAATGTTCCAAATAAAGGGGTCATTTTCCCTGCATGTGAGAGAACTTCTCCACAACACATTGTGCTGGCTTCTACTTTGAGGAAAAGTAGTTCAGGGTTGTGTGATACAAGCCTGAATTATGTGAGAAGTATGATTTGAGGTTTTCCCAGAAGGAGCATTATTCCCATACACTTGGGAATAACAGGGTTGGTTATTTTTCCTATTTAGTCTCTCTTATGATAACTGCTTTATCCCAATCTTATGTGTGTTGAATTCTTCAAGAAAGAGGTGTTAGATTTCTGAATCTGTTTGTAATATTTCCCCTGTGGAGGTGTAGTTTGGGGTTTCTCTCCTTCAGTGCTGAACAAAGCTTGTTCTGCCCTCCTGGGTGCAGGTGGATGCGCTGCGGTTACGTCTGGAGGAGAAGGAGACCATGCTGAACAAGAAGACAAAGCAGATCCAGGAGATGGCAGAGGAGAAGGGCACCCAGGCAGGCGAGATCCACGACCTCAAGGACATGCTGGAGGTGAAGGAACGCAAAGTTAACGTTCTTCAGAAGAAGGTAAGGCTGGAGAGCTCTGGGTCAGATAAACCTGATGCCTCTCAATTTCCAAGGCTGTCAGAGTCTGAACCAGAATGTACATTCTGGAGATTAAGAGCCCATTGATACCATGGGAATATGTTGGAGGATGAATTTGTTTGAATTTTTGACAAAAAAAATAGAATTCAAAACAGAGGTTGTTGCCTTTCAGTGACTCCATGTGCTGCTTCTGCTTCCATCTTAATATTACCTGTGGCTGAGGCATTTGTAGCAGGGCACATGATCTGGAAAACCAATCTTTTCCCACCCAGCACCTCACCAAAGCCAGTTTGAAGCACAGGGCTGATGATGACTTCAGTGTGTGACTGAGTGAGTGAGGGCTTGTGGCAGCAGAAATAATTGGGATGATTTCTCTGTAACCTCCTTGGAAAGTTTGTGGAGAACTTTGTGTAACTTTCCTTAGAAATGCTGTATTATCATACTTAATATTTCTTGGGAAGTGCTAGAATAGGATAATCAGACTATCCACGTTTTTTTGGATAAGAAAATGTAGCCCTTATCAGTGAACTGGGGGAGGTCTGGGTAAAAAACCATGTAGACTGTGTCAGACAAATTGGAGAGGTTTCCCAAAGGGTATTGAGTCCTAGGGAATGGATGTCATTATGGATGATTGTTGGAAAATTGCACACACAATATATCCCAATTTTCCTCTACACAGGGTAAAAAGAGAGAAAAGTGTGCACTGCAATAAATTTTAATTTGAGGAACATTTTTTTTCTCTGTATCTTTAGAGAAGCTGCTCTTGGAGCTCTTATTCAGTGTATTAGGCTGAGGATGTGGGGGCTTTTGTTCTGTTTTTTTCTAGACCTTTAATCAATTCTACAGAATTCTTGTGTATTAATAGCTCAGAATATTGACTGATTTCTGACACTTGTCCAATGCCTTTTCTTCTTGTCTGTAAGTGTAAATCACGAGGGTTTAGGTCATGATCAGCTCTGTTACAGCAAACCTCACACAGGAATGGAAGTTCAGGCATGGACTTCAGCCACAAATAAGTCATTAATAATTCTAGAGCACATCCCTAATTCCCCATCTTCCCAGTCTCATTTTTCTGACTGTTCATCCTTTCAGAAACACAGAGTCCTGATTTTTGTGCTGTGTTTCTTTTTGTTTTACGAAATTGGTGGTGCAGCCTCCAGACCCAGATTGAGATCCCAGCTGAGTGTTTAACCAAGAGGTGGGGAGTCTGACATTTGTGTAAATGTTAAATGTCACTGAGCTGCTTTTATTTCCATTTCCTCCTCCACTGCTTTTTCACACCTTTTCTTGCTCTGCTTGACACTTGAGAATGATCTTTCATTAGATCATTTCTAGGCAGCTCTAAAGGTTCTTTTTTTAATATTTGTTTTTTTGAGACCACTGTAATCCATATTGAGACAGTTTCATTTGGTGTCTTTGTGCATCTGACCTGCTTTTTCAGGACTGTTCCCTGCTGCTTTCAAGTAAAATCACCTGGAATTTTCAGGTTGGAAAGAAAGGACCCAGGCTTTCAAATGTGAAAGCTTCAAGGTCCTGTTCTCCTGGACAGCTCTGCTGAGGATAACAGTGCAATAATAAACTGCAGTTTGTGGTGTTCTCCTGTCTCTGAGCTTCCTAAAACAACAAAACAAAGAAGCCCCATGGAACAAAGCACCATAAAATGCTGAAAGGGACTTTAAAGACCCTCCAGCTCCCCCCCTTCCAGCAGAGCAGGGTGCTCCAAGCCCTGTCCAGCCAGGCATTGAATGCTGCCAGGGATGGAGCATCCACAGTTTCTCTGGGCAGCCTGTTCTGTATAAAAACATATAAACTATCTCTAGAAAAATACATATTTCCTGTAGAATCGCCTGCAGAGATTTGAATTTGCTTTAGCCTTGAAGTTGCTGGAGGCATTTTCTTTAACATGAGCAGTTAAATTGTGAGAGCTGTAAATTCAAAGGGGTTTTTTTCTGTTTCTGTGACTAGCTAACAGAATATTCTTGTGGAGAATCCACAAGGTGACAATTCTTTCATCTGAGGTTTGCAATATGGAATTCCTTTTTATTTTTTGTACAGCCTGGGGTAAATAACTGGAAGTGCAGGCCTTTAAAGTTTGAGGGTTGATGTCTTTAACTCAGATTTTTAATTACTTGTCCAGACCTGGAATTGAAGACTAGGTGTGGGATTTTCTATGGAGAGGGCTTTGCATTCTCTTGTTCTCTTTAACATCTTCCACAGAAAAGCAGAGCTTGAGAAAATACCTAAGGAAGGACTTGCCTGATTTTTTAATATGTATTATTGTAGAAGTTCTGGGAACTTGCATAAAATCTGTTTCAGGTGTTTCAGGAAAAATGATGAAGTCTCATTTTTATCTGGCTGTCCTTTCATGCACAGATAGCGATTTCTGCCCTCTGCCTGGAGACTCAGAAGCCTCATATAAACATTTTCCTCTTAATCCTTGTAAACTCTGGTTTATTTTTGCTTCTTTTGCATTTCTAGAGTGCATCTTATTAAAGTGCACACCTCGTTTTCTGCTTTATCCAAGTGCTATCCTTCAGACCTTCCAGGGCAGTTTGGATTTTTATTGCCATAAAAAAATGTCTTTAAATTTTACCTCCATGCACAATAATCTTTTTTTTTTTTGGTTACAAATTGTTTTGTTCAGACAGAGCAGGTTTTAATCTTATATTCCAGTTGAAGATCTGAAGGTCCAGTTTAAAGTATTTTCAGAGGTCATAGATATTATGGGTAGTAGTTTGGGTTTTTTCTTGTGCTGGCTTTGTTATCTGACAGTAAATGTTTGTTTTATATTTACTGACATGGTTTAAATGGTATTCAGAGATTTTAATTGAGCAGAGTGGAAGATCATGAAAGGCACGTGGTACAAAAAGTGCTTTTCTTGTATAGTTTTAATTAGTATTTTTGTATGGAAATAATATGTATTTGGAAATTAGGAGAAGGAACAGGGTGAAGATGTGGCACATTGAAGGAATTTAACCAAATCATGACTTGGGTCAGTGGATACCATTCAGTTTTCAGCCAAGTACTCTTCCCTCAGCAGGTGCTCAGATATTTTTGAAGTTGGATATTTTTGAAATTGGATTCTAATCAACTAAATTTTGCACACTAATATTTTTTAATGCTAGGTACAAAGAAAATGTGTAGCAAAAGCTAAAGTGCTTAAGATCTGACAAGAACAGAATTTATTAAAAAATCATTAACTTACATGACTCAGCCATTTGAGAAGACTTGATTAATTCTTTTGAAATTTACAGATTGCCTGTACCAGAGTGTAGCCGTAGTCAAATGGGTATTTTTTAATATATATTATATAATATATATTATTTATATTATTATTGATTTTTATTTTATTTTCTGTGCCTGTTTTTGATCTGTCACCTGTGACACTGACAGGGATTTGTTTGGATTGGTGCCCAAAGCTGTGCTATCCCAAATTGCTGCTGTTGAAACAAAACATTATTTAAAGTTCACCCTTTATCTTTGGGTCTGTGTGTGGATTCACTGACACAGATCCCCTCATGGTTTGCTTTATGAGCCATTATTTTTGTTGCATTGGATAAGGTGGGGAACTGTAAAGTATTCTTTTTTGCTCATCCAAAAATCAAGGTGAAGGAAGTACTGGAAGTTCACTGGCTGAACAGAGATCAGTTGAAAGACACAGAAGAAGATTATGAACAACAGAGATCTGAAAAATTAGCATAACAATTGGCATCATCACTGATACCCAGTAGGCACCAAAATACATTTTCCAGGTTGCTGAGGAAACCACATGCTTCACATTTTAAATCCTGGAGTCTTTCCAGTTAAGCTCATACAGGGATGCTGTATATAAAGGCAGTACCTTTATTTTAGACAATAGAAGTAGGGCATAAGGTAGAAATTTGAAGACTTTGGCTTTATGTCTGAAAATTTAATGCAAAAACTTGGTTTTATAGAGCTTCAGGATTGTTGTTTTTTTTTTCTCTCATTTCATTGAAAATAGATCTTGAATAAAATCTCATTTTAAATTTGTAAAACTCAAGGCCAGGGGAAAACGTCTTTGCAAATAAAGTAGGGACCATGCTGGGCAAGCTTGAAATCTGAACCTGAAAAACATTAAATGGTGCTTAATTACTCTTTATGCTACCTCTGTCCATCTGTGCTGGCAGACAAGGGTGAAAAGAAATGAGGAAAAAAAAAAAAAATCAATATTTTGCAATCAAAGCATTTTAAGGAAATAGCATTTGGGACAAAAGATAAGTAATAATACACTGAAATGGAAAAAAAAACCCCAAAACAGGGAATCAATCACCTCTTGCTTTGGAGATAGGTCATGTTTTGTCTTGGGCAGGGGGGTTAACACTCCCTTCTTTGTGCAGTGCAGCTGCAGGCAAATAAAATGCAAGTTTTAGTGTCTGAACGTAGCAGTGTTTTTGGCAGCTCCCCATGCTCTGTGTGATAATTGACCTGTGATAAAGGAAGAACACAGATTGATTTTTTTCTTAGCTGGCTGTGCTGACTTGTTTAGCTAAAATTTGGGAAGGTTTCAAATGCTCCTGCACTTTTGAGTAAGAAGCATTACCTTTCTCCACAGGAAATCCATGTCCTCTGCTTTCCAGAAAACTTGGAAATCAGAATAAACATCTTGTGCTCAACGATTAGAAATACTGTGTGGCAGGAGAGAGGGGCTGCAAACAAGATATGTTTGTTTAAAATCAGTGCTGCTCATGGTTACTACATAGTTACTACAACTGGTTGAGTATTCCTAACCTTGAAGTGCAGTGTTTGTACCTTAAAGTTTATTTTTATTTTATTTCCTATTCCCTCATCTCTGAAGTGGGCTTACCTTCTGCCACAGCCCTGAGGAGGTGAGAGAGCTCAGAGGAGGAAGGAACTGTATTTTCAAAGATCTGATTTATGGTCATTTCATCCAAGGTGTGACCCTGAACTTGCCTACCAAGCTAATGAAGAGATGGTTTCCTAAGAATTTATAGAATTTATCAAATGTATAAAATTATAAAATGCAGGCTGGCCTTTGAGCCATCCCTCTGAGCCTCCCCACGATGGCATTTCATTAGGAGTCACTCAGTGCCCACACTGCAGGTGTTGGCTTGGTCATTCCCCGTGTGTGAGCTGTGCAGCAAAGAATAATTCAGCATCACAGGGTCCAGCAAAGCTGGGCTGCACCTTGGTTCACAACCAGGGTGAGCATGTGTCTCCTGCCTCTCACTGCAGGGGTTTTTACCTGTTTAACTGCACCTTGGTTCACAACCAGGGTGAGCATGTGTCTCCTGCCTCTCCCTGCAGGGGTTTTTACCTCTGTAACTGCACCTTGGTTCACAACCAGGGTGTGCATGTGTCTCCTGCCTCTCACTGCAGGGGTTTTTACCTCTGTAACTGCACCTTGGCTCACAACCAGGGTGAGCATGTGTCTCCTGCCTCTCCCTGCAGGGGTTTTTACCTCTGTACCATTCCTGTGGACAAGTTTATTCTCTGTTTTTAATGTGCTTGAACCATGGGCAGTGCAGGAGGGGCAGCAGCCAGCTCCAGCTCATCAGCCCAGCTTCTGCAGGGAGGTGAAGGTGGATGTGCTGCACTTTCTGCTCTCCCAGGGCTGATGAAATGGGAATTTTTCCTCAGGAAATCAGAGGCTTATCCAGCCCAGTTACAAGAGCATTTCTGTGAGTCCCTGGCAGAGCTGTGCTCTTTTTACTCCAGATCTCCAGTCACGCCACTGAACAGGTTCTACACCAAATTCAGACATTTCAAATGCCACAGAAAAAGACCAGACATTCCCACAGGCTTGTGTCAGCTTCTTTATTAAACCTGACAGATGTGACCTCCCAGATGTGTCCTGGAGGGACGTGGGGAGCTTCTCCCTGAGGGGAGATCAGAGCTCTGCTGCTGCTGCTTTTTCTTTCATTCAGGCCCTTCTGTCACAGCCTTGCTGACCACTGAACAAGACAATATTCAAATTTCTCTTTTAGAGATTTCTAGAAGCTATTCTGGCTTATTGGTTCCCCTTTGTGTCCAAGGTGCTGCCTACAGTAGCTTCTCTTTTTCACCGGGGTACTTTGAGAATTGCTTTACCAAGTGGGGTGGGGTTTTTAGATAATAGAATTATCTTCAGTTAGAGGAATAATAGGAAATATTAGACAGGCTTTTAATCCCTCCCCTCTCTCACAATGCTACCTGTGGTAGCAATGAAAGTGCCAAAGAAGGCTGATGAGGCTTCATTATGTAAGTTCTAATTCAGCATAATTATCATGTGAGACTCTTTTCAGCCATCCAGGTAGGTGAGTTAATCTCCACGTGGAAAATCAGGACACAACACAGAATTTATTTTCATTTTATAGTGAGCCATGACCAGTTTGAAAGCAGGGTTCTTACCCCTCCATCTTGAGTTTCCAGCTCTCAGACAATCTGCCAAGACCTTTCAGAGTAATTGCAGCCCAGCTCAGGTGACACGGTGTGTGGTTGTTTCATTTTTCCTTCCATGAATGGACAACTAATAAAATGATATTAGGGCAGGGGAACAGCACAGTTTCTTCATATCTTCATATCATTTTTCAGCTCCTTGCTGAAGTTTTAAAGGTGTCTGAGTTTGTTACAGCAGCTTCAGGCAGATCCCAAAGATTTGGTATCTTTGATTCTTTAGAGCCAGTTAACAACATTTAATAACATACATTTTTCTGATTGGAATATGGATCCTAAAAGATCCCCAAGCTTAGCTTGAGACAGTATTTTCCATGGCAGATAGTCCACAGTTTGCAGGTGCTTGTAGAGGTGACAGTGAGTTCTCCAGGGATTTACCCAAGGAATACACTTTTTATGCTATTGCAGTAATTTTCAGTGAACAGTTCCTCCTGCTATTGCAGCATCTATGGCAGACAAACCTACTGGATTCAAAATAAGGTTTTGTGTCTACCTATGTTACAATTTAGAATTTTTCAGTGGAGAATGTGCTTCTTTATATTTTTATACTTTTTTTTGAGCATTTTGTGATACCACAATAAAAGAAAAAGATCTGGATTATATGTAGCAGATGTACCTGTATTCCCAGATGTATGCTAATATTCTTTTTAAAAATCAAATGTTGCTCTGTGTGGAAGATAGCAAGTTAGTTTCTTATTTTGAGAACTTATGTAAAGAATACTCTCTCCATTTAGATTTGTGATAATATATATAATTAATATATATATATGTATTTAATAATGTTATTAAAGAATCTCTCCTGTTGACTTTAGCAGCTAAAGTGCTTGATTGTTTTTTTTATCTGAAGTAACTTACCCTGTAGGTAAGCAGGCTCACACAAAGACAGAAAAGCAGATTAATGGTGTTGGTTCCACTATTGCAGCTGGCTGAGGAGGGATTTTAAACTGATGCACACGAGATTGAGGACAACAGCTCAGTTACAAGAAAACTGAAGTTTCTGGAATTATCTGGAGCCACAGCTCAGCAAATCTGTCGTGTATAGGGGAGGAACTTTTCTGGTATCCCTCAAAGAGGAGAAGTCACTTTGATATCATGTCCTTCAAGACAGGACATCCCTCATAGGTAGGGGGAGTGACAAATTCTGGTTTCTTGAAGGGATCTGGGAAGACAGCCAGCTCTGGGCCCCTTGCCTTCATTATGAATCAAAAGTGTAGTTTTTCTGGCAAGATAAAGCTAATCAGCCTTGTTGGTGTATTCACTGTGGTGCAAGACAAACTTCCCCATGATTGAAGAGGCAGGAAAAGCAAGGGTGTGTGCCATTTTTGAGGCTGCTGACATCAGTCTTCCTCACATGGCTTTTCCTTGCTCTCTGGCCTGCCAGGCTTCACAATTTCCAGCCCTTTCTGCCCCTGGGGGTTTTGTCTGAGCTGTGTCTGGAACATCATCAGTGATTGTGTTAGCTTAGGGATCTTCACTAGAACAAGGAAGGAGTGGTTTTCCAGTTTAAATCAAGAGTTTCTGGGATTCAGGAGTGAATTTTGAACCCACTAGGTTGAACAGTTCTCAGAGCTGGGTCTCTGGACAAATTTATGCAGTCTTTAGGAGTGCCATAAGGCACAAACATATCAACAGCTTTCAAATCTGTGATTTCACCCAGAGGGTAAGAAAACTGGGGGAATGTCAGCAGAGGAAACTGAGGTCCCTTTGTCTCAGAATAACACACATTTCATACTTAGGATGCTCCTCTGCATGATGAAGAGGTTCCAGCAGATGATGGTGCTAATTTAATACATTAGGTTCTTAACATTTTTAGGGGTTTATGAGTGTGGATCACTAACTAATGTGAGAGTTTGATATTTAGTCACCTGTCACTGTGTTCTGAAGTAATTCTGTAACAGCAGTGATAGCTAAATACTGAAAAATACACACACTCATATTTAGTATTTACAGTGTAATTTCCTGATCCCTTGCTATTCATCAGTCCATGTCCTTCCCAGGAGAATGAGGCAGGACAATCACAGCTGACTGGCCATGTTTTGCACTGGGATTTAAAGCATCCCTCCTTTCCAGAGCTCTTCCCTCAGGGTTTGCACAGTTTTACCCTACAGTGTATCTTTGATCATAATAAATCAGTGGTTTGGGCAAAGTAATTCAGTGTCTGAATCGTAATTTAATTTAAAATCTTTGTTCAAGTTGTACAGCCTTCTGCTTGAGCAAGCCTAAATGATAATGTGAATGGAGTTTAGTTTGCTGTGAGGATTGCCTTTATAATCAGCATTAAATCCCATTTTTCCATCCTGTCCTTTGGTCTGCCTCAGTGGTTGGTCTTTTCTGCTCCCTGATTTCCATTCTTGGCTATTTCAGTGCCCTGAGGAGTTCAGCCTTTCCTCTCTTTGTGTCTTTTTTGACCTTTTTTTGCTGCTATGGGAGTGTGATATGCAGCTCTGTACCGTGTGTCCCTAAGCAGGGAGGTATCAGTATTAATGTGACTCAGGAATTATTATTGTCCTTGCTCTGTGTAGAACCAAAACCAACATCTCCAGCAAGTCAGGAAAGCATCATCACTATTGCTGAGTAACAGAGATCAAGCTGCCATAGAACAAGGACTGTTGGTTTCACAGTAATTAGCAATGAAATGAAGCACAGGGTTTATCCAAGTAAAGAAGTTTAATTTTTAGTGTAGAAACTTTTTCTCTTTGCACTTCTAAAATGTTACTTTAAGTGTTAACCTTGTGAACCTTGAGATGTTCTAAAAGCAGTGTCCCAGCTTGTTAGTTTTATTCTGCTTCTTACAAAACAGGATATCAGCATTGTTAATAATTTAACAATTACTAGGTTTAATTTCCCCCCTTGTTTTACCAGCCTTGCACAATAAAGTACTTTTGTTTTTTCTTTTTTTTGAACACTTGGGATCCATCAATATGAAATTATTCCAATTTGTAGTATTTGTGTTTTCTCTGTAATGAACTTTCCTAAGTCAAATCTCTGCACAATTTTGTCCAAGCCTGTTCAGAGACTTGGAGCAGCAGTGAGTAAATGTCCTCAGAAGAGTTGGGTTTTTAATCCTTTTGTGTTTGGTTGGTCATAGGGGTAAAACTTTGGAAAACACAGCCTTAGAGATTGCTTCATAATGTCAGGACACAGCTGAAAGGAGAATTAGCATGATGTTATTCTGCGTGATTAGGCCAGGATTTCAACAAAATGGATGTTATTCATAATTAGATTGGGAAATTAATTACCAGATGATTTCAATTATGGCTCTCAGTATAATGACATTTTAATATATATTAAATAAATGAGTAATATCTAAACTTCATCAAAGAGAAGCAGCAGAGTTTAAACTATTTTGTTTTGGTGTTTGTGATAGCAGTGTTTTGTTTTAAATTACTTGAGGGAATGGAAGTATCAGACTCAAGTTGGACCCAACAGATTTCCTTGATGAACAACCAAGGTTGAAACCTTGGTGCTGGATAATGGCTGCAGTCTCCTGCCTGATGAATACCAACAAAGGTCACCCAGAGAAGCTCTGAGATAAATGAGAATTTTTAATGGATTATGTAATTAACCATATGCAACCAAACAACTGGCTCATGTATTGCCAAATCCAATCTCTTCTGAGCAGCTTTTGTGTTATTTGATAGCATTTGACATCAAATATTGCCCAGTGACATCAATGTCTGTGCTTTGAGGCACTGGCAGTGGGTTAGAAAGTGTCAAAGCCCTGCCCAGCTCTCTCCAGTGTCCACAGCAGAATTCTCATTCCAACACTGCTTTTAACTGGCTCAGCCTATTGGTATTATTGAACCTCCTCAGAATGAAGCAATTCCACAACTAAATTTAACTGGTTTACAGCTGTCTGAGGATGTGA